AGTTAACATCTGCCATGCAAACTATATGTCAAAATATTCTAGCAAAGATTGTCCATCTACATATCAATACAATTATAAATATGTTTATTTTGTAACTATATGTCATTTTGTGGTGCTTATATTCTTATATTGATAATCTGTTAATATTTCCAAATAATAAAGTGTGGTATTTTATAAATATTATATGGTTTAACATTGTCTGCAGCAAAATTGAGACCAGAATGCAAAACATTTCTAGAAGTTAATTAGCAATATAACATTTAGGCTTCCGCAATTTCCAAGCACAAATACAATTAAATAATCTTTTACTAATGCACAATGACATATCCACTAATATTATTAATGTGATGATCATACCTTAACATTCAGTATAGTGACATCAATAATAATAGTTAGAACTTTAAATAAATGTATCTCATACTTTTCTATAGTGTCTGCTCGGTTTAATATTCAATAAGGTTTGACATAGTTTATTAACAATATTTACAATTATCCTAAAAACAAAACAACACATTAATGTTTAGCAGAGAAAAGATTATGTAAGTTATATAAAAAAACAATTATTAAACAATGCATACATAGCTATACTTTAAAATTATTAAACATGTTATAAACTAATATGTTTAAGTTAGTTTTATAGTTCAATTTAGGATTGCATATGTTATATTTACTGAAGTTTTAAAATGTACTTTTTGTTATCACAAATTTATTTTATTTTATTTTCAAGGTCAATTCATATTTCTTTTGCTAATTATGCTCAATTTTAATATTTGATGTTCAAGGGCTATAGATATATAATTTGAAAGGTGTATATGAAATTTAAAGTCAATACCACTAATCAATTGTATACATTTTCACTATAGACATTTAAAAAATACACAGAGAAAGTGACTAAAACATTTGAAATGAGCAGATTTTATTATGACATCTTTTCAATAAACCCTTAACTAAGAACATTTAGAAAAAAATGCATTATGAAATAGACGTTGATGAATAACTGTAAGTTAGGTGATCACGTAATAATGAGCAAATGCATTATGGTATATGCAGGTGATCATGCATATTATATATTCTAGAACATATTCATTTGGGAATGCTTTCATAATTTCTCTGCTGAGGAGGTTCTGAAAAGTAAATTGCAAGACAGCTCAACCTTATTTTCACGCGGCACTAGGTTAATCCGTATTCCCAAGTGATTGCTTTTAGTACGCCACTGAATGTCTTATGTATATATATATATATATATAGTATATATATATATATATATATATATATATTTATATATATATATATATGTATATATATATATATGTGTGTGTGTGTGTGTGTGTGTGTGTGTGTGTATATATTATTTTTAATGATGTACATTAGGTATATTATTTATGAAATATCATTTTATTAATGTTTTATATTGTTTTCTTACACATTTTTACCTTCTTCTTCAATAAACCAATAATTAATCATCCTGACTGAAAAAAAAATATTATAAAACATGATTACAAAATGATAATAATTGCAAATATGATTATAATTTTAACAATTCTTTAAGGCTAACGAATATGATAGAATTGAGGATAAGAAATATCCAACAAACATAACCTAACTTTTTATATCCATATTGGTAAATATATATATATATATATATATATATATATATATATATACCTAAAAAACTTTGAAAATAGTTCAAAATAAATAGGTCTGCTAAATTCTGCAAAATTTTAATGGTTATTGATTTTTCCTCAGTAATCTGTTAATTATAGATATGTCTTTTTCAGATCAGGTCGCTTTGTGGCATACTGACATATATTTCAATAAGCTCTTATTAATAACACAAATTCTACAGAATATTGAAACAATTACTTCTAGATTTTAAGATCTTTTGACTCCATCTCCCCACAAATTTGTTTTGGTTTTAACAGCCATTATTTTGATTACACTTTGCCTGGTTACATAACTTTGGAGACTACTAGGGAAAATACAATCTCAGATAATTATTGACATGTTAAAAGATTGCAGTCTTGATGTTCAGATATATTTCTCCAGCACTTTTCCAATTTTTTAATGAGTGAAAAATAGCCCTTTACCTTATTTTAAGCACTTATATTTTGGAAATCATAATTCTACCGAAGAGGAGTAATAAAGTCAATCAGATTCCTGCCAGAAACCTAATTAATCAGTCAATTAAAATCAGAACAAATAAAGATGTACTTATCTAAAGGGATATTCCAAGCACCATAGTCATGGAATCTTGTTGTAGCAGTTATGGTGCCTGAAGTTTCCTAAATCCATTCACTAGTCAAGCATTAACCCATTTTAAAATAGTTTAACATTGAATGAGTATTCCTGAGTAAAATTTAATTCTAAATTTATTATAGCAGGCCATAACAGTGATGAGGAGCAGTGAAAGACTGGGCAATAGCCGTAGCAGCAATGAAACACTGGGCTCCAAGTGCCTAGGGACACTCATTCAGTATTAAACCAATTAAAAACAGTTTAATAGACTTGCACGTAGCAGAAGAATTTAGTTTGGGCAAATTGATTTCCAGAAAACAAAGTTGCTTCGGTTGATTTGGGAATTAACCATCTGTTTGTATGTTTTTTGTCTGTATGTTTTTTGTCCATTCAATTGTTTGGGGAAAGAAATATTTAGGGGAACCTAAATGGTGCACAACTTGGACTTTCAGTCACAAATTCACAGATCAAGTGAAATGAATTAACCAATATTTATGATATTTATATATGATATATTGATTAAATGTTATCCAAAAGTATTCAACCGAGGACTGATTTTAAGTTAATGCAACTGCATGGCAACTATTAATTGTCATGCTATTTTATTGCACATTATTCATGAACTGAATAGTTCACTGTACTCTCAAAATATTGATTAAAACACAAATAAGAAGGCATCTCTGTGTAATGCTAGAATCTGATGTCTTACTGCAAATACTTTAGTGATTTATAATAAAAATGTAATGATAAACTTTTGTTGAAAATCCTCATGTTGAGCTATTTATGGAAATCTTTTAATAGAAATTTTAAAAAGAAGAATTTCTCTCAATGGATATACATCCTGATGTTTTGGGATTTTGAAGAGGAGATACAAATCTATACACGTGTTATTCTTGAAGTATACAGTAATTCAAGATACTGCACTGTAATGACCTGAGCTAGTCAAACTGACTTTTACTTAAAATGACATTGGCTTTGACATTTGCAGTTCAATTACATGACCTTAATTGTAATTATGGGATGTAATTTGTGAACTCATTAAACTGTAATTGACCATTTTTGACTAATGAGTCATATAAATGTGGAGCATCTAGTAACATTACTCGTGTTTTAAAACAAACGGATTTCCTTATTTCTAAATTATATTAAATAGATTTGAAGACAAACTTAATCCATTTTCTTCTCTAAAAAAATACATTTAGGAAATACAAGTCAACTCTAAAATCAGTTTGCAGCTTGATAAATACCTATTTGTTAAGTAAATAAAAATATTACATATTTTAAGATGTATCATTTAAAGTTATTTAAAAATTAAATCTGAAGACACATTTTAGATCCCAAATTATTAAATGGTAACAGCTTAAACTACTTCCCAGTCATTTGAAAGCTTTTGTTATGCCACAAAAAGCAACCTGATCTGAAGAATACATATCTATAATTATCAGATTACTGAAGAAAATCAGCCACCATTAACATTTCGCAGACCTGTTTATTTTGATTTATTTATTTAAGTTGTTTAGGTGTATACATAATCACCCTAAAAATGAGTCTAAACAATATATGTATGTATGCTTGTGTCAAAGTTCCAGTCAAAAGCATGGTCACACCTTCTCATGGACTTCCCCAAGCAATCATGAGTAGTTGGCTAAGACTGTCTCCACTCTCCTTACTCATGGCTCTTTGCATCTCTTAGAATTTAGACTGGCTCTTGGTTCTATACTGGAGAGTTTGTTCTACCACTCTTACCAGCCCAAATATTTTAATAAGCTTCTTATACATATAGTTTGATGTACTGAACTAACATTTGTGCAATGGGCATGGTTATACTGAATAAAGGAAAATGTGGACATTTTATGCTATGTATACATAAAAATATAGTATGTTCAAAAATGATTAAAATAAAACATGGAGTATTGTTTAATATGTTTAGATTTTAATAGATGTTTAAATATAAATGAATATATTGATTATTTGTTTTCCTTTAAGGTAATGATTTTAATCATGTTGGCTATATCATCTTACTGAACTCTAATCTCACCAAACCAACAAGGGTCACAAATATTGCTATCTGTGTCATGCCAGCAAATACAAATGTGAGAAAGGCTGAACTTAATGGATGCATGTCTCTTTTAAGCTATGTAACTATGTAATTTGATCTTTAATTGCTGGAGACAGGTATGGAGGGACTCATGGGAAAAAAATATGAATTTAGTACTGTCTAACCGGTACAGTCTCACAGCTGTAGGGGAACAGTTATATGTTGATTGGATGTTTCAAATTGTTAAACACAAGAATAAAGTAACATATTCCTATTTGGAAACTGAATTTTGTGGGTACACAGGCTGTAGCGGAGAGCTGGTATTCCACAGACTTCCACAGTGGAGATGTAGGCCCACGGCCTACATCTCCACTTTAGATCCCAGGGAGACTCAGGAACAAGCAATTATAAATCCATAGGGTAAAATATCCAGCAGGCAAAATAACAGCGATATCCCAACAGCAATTCCCAATAACTGGACGACACACAGTTTCAGGAGCATTTTTATTTTTTTATTTTTTTTTTTATCCTACTCCACCTGTTCCTTCTGAAAAAGGATATAGATCATCAAATATAATATTCTATATTCTATGTATATGTATTATACAAGATAATGTCAACTATTTATATAAAACAATAAGGGAAAAGGAATAGGAAAGGGGAGGATTTTGAAAAAATGGTTTATTTTACCATATATACATTCATTCTATATATATGCAGTTGTATGTGATAATAGAAGGGAGAAGATGATATACATTTGGGGGTATATATATTAAGTCTGTAATTATGAGCATTTTCTGGTTTATATTCTGAAGTTGACATTGTCACTGTTTAGGTGATGAATTATGTACTAAATGTTTATATGTCCCCTTTTTTTCCCTTCTTTTTCCCCTTTTTTCTGGCTATTTGTAAAATGTTTTACTCCTCCATTTGGATACCCGTGATGGGAGTTTTCCCACAAGAAAGTGTGGGCAGATTATGCTTTAAGTTTGCCAGTAAAACGGCCTGATTTGGAAATGACGAACGGATTCACTCCGTCGCGTCACTTCCGGTATTTAATTCAGGGAACTTTCCCACAAGAAAAATGGCCGCGGTGAAAGCGGAAATGACGCGGACAGGGAGACCGCGCCAGTTCCGATCACCCTGAAGGACTACAGGTGAGGTATCCCACCTCACTACATGCAGCCAAGTGATTGGACTAGACTTATGAAGAACCACCTATCGGAAAGAAGACCGGCATACTTAAACAGCAGGGTAATGAAGAAAAGAAGAGCCGATTGAAAAAGCCCACAGGACGTGGGTGAAACGCGTTTCGGATTTGAAGTCATTTATTGGGACTTATATTTTATATTTGTTTCTAAATTGTTTTACTATTCTTTTTGATTTTAAAACTTAGAATAAATTTATTATTTTTTACTACATCCCATTGGCTTCCTACTTTGCCTTGCTGCTAAAAGAAGGGCTGGTGCCCCCCTCCAGAGGCACCTAAATCTACCATCCAGAGCCAGGTTCTCATTGGCTCAAAAAAAGGTGAGCACCACTATAACTACTGTGTGTGTAACCACAAAGTCAAAACATAGGGCTTCTCCCCTTTCTTTTCCTTTTTTCTTTCTTTGAGGAAATTTTAATCCAGTCAAAGGGTGCAGTGTCTCCTTACGACACTACGGTGAAAGTGATTTGAGCCTGTCCTGTTTGAGGCTCTACTTCATGTGAGTTTGACCATTGTTATAACATCAAAAAATCCCCATTATTCACAGATTTACACTATATTGTGTTGTATTGTGTTTTCTTTACTTCTATGTATCAACATACATCTTAGATTTAACCCTAAATTAGGGTAAGTGAAAATATATAGCGCTTCACTCATTTGACTAGTAAGGTCTGGATTTATATCCAGTTCATACTAGATTCACTTTGGTTCATTTTTCTAGTTTAAATCATTTGCCATTTGGCTTATCCCTCCTGGAACATCAACCCTGTAACATATCTTAGTATCATCAGCAAAAAGACATACCTTAACACCTTCTGCAATATCACTAATAAAAATATTAGAGAGATAATGGGTCCAACTATAGATCCCTGAGGTACCCCACTGGTAACTAGACTTGCTTCGAATTTATACTTTAATTTATACTTTTGTAGATAAATACGTTTGAAAGTTTTTCTAATAGTATTGAATCATATGGAAAGTTTATTAAAACAAGGTCCAGGTGTCTACAATTGACACCTGTATCCATTACTGTCAGTGTATATGAACGGGCAAACATCAGATTATTGCTCATAGACATGTTTTTATTTACTCTTTCTTATAGTGAAACTGTCAGGATCGTATCCTGACAACTATGTTTATCTTCATTTATTTATGTTCCTTTAAAAGAAGTTACAGCTCTCCACCACTAGTGGCTTCCCTAGCCACTAGTCACCTCAGTCCTCACCTGCCTAAGACTAATTAAGTCATCTACAAAAGGCTACACCCAACTAACCTCACGGCCTTTACATTGAAGTTGGTGATTTACCCGAATCACTTCATATTCTGGCTCCTGTGAACCTGCTCCAGATTTATCTTCAAACCGGCTCCTAACAATAACCTGCTCTACCCTTAACTATACTTCAAACCAGCCTACCTCTGTTACCAGCCTGCCTCTGTTACCAGCATTCCACTGTTACCAGCCTGCCTTTGATACCAACCTGCCTTTGTTACAACCCTACCTGGAAATTACAGATATTCTTTATTATTTGCACGTAACCTGTTCTGTGGCAAGTATCCTGTTTTGTGGCATATTACCTAAATTCTGTTTTACCTCAAGTTCCATAAAATGTCTAAAATCACTAATAAAGTACCTGAAGTCAACCCTGGCATGTCTTCTATCTGACCTGCACAAGATCATGACAGAAACAAGTATATACGTATATATGTACAAAACTGTTTCTATTATGACTATTTTTTTTAAAATGCTGTTCTCTTTTAAATAAATGTTTGTAAGTGATTTTTGTTGAAAATTAAAAAACAACTCTGAAAGATATAGAATTTAGGAGAATTAACGCAACAAGGCACAATACAGTCCATAGTTTCAGAAATTCATGAACTTTTGGGAAATCATTCTCAATTTGTAATTCACAAGAGGCCACCTGTCATATATTGTCACCTTAATCTTACATAATAAATGTGATGTACTACTTGGAATTAAAGATCATCTAAGCCAAAAGACTATAAACTTATGGCACAAAGTATAGTGAAAAATACAATGTTCTTTACTCCTCCCCAACATGTTTCTGAGTCTGTGAAAACATGTTCTCTCATAAACACACACGGGTAATTCAATAACAATTCATCATTAAAATGTCAGTATATGCATCCATCATATTGAATGTCTTGAAGTTTATTGTATGCAAAGCCATTTTTAAATAATTTTATGATTCTTTCAATAGCATGCCTTCTTTACCCATTTACTGCCACATGGTGTTGAAAATATTTGGCATATCAAGATGCTATAGGGCTCACATTTGTAATAACTCTTAAAATTGGAACACAAATGATTTCAGAAGGAATAGTAGGTCAAGTAAAAGGCAGCACATAACAAAAAGAAAAATGCAAAAGTCTAAACTAATTAACCTATTTTATTATTTTATTGTTTTAATGTCCTCTAATACTGAAATGCCAGATATACAGGTTATAAACTATAATCACAAAACATTGTTTGAGTGACAAACTCTAAACCCAAAAGTTTCTGGGACTAAATGGATGAGGCCAATGCAATTGGAGTAAACACACTGGCTCATTTAGTGATAAGAAAAATGTTTAAGATTGTTTTTGTCAGATATTGTGACAAGTTACCAGTTGATTTGTTTGGAGAGGAACTCAGTTGCAGTGGAATAGCAACCCCTTGAAAACATATCACTGAGAGTGATACAGGAACCTGGGAGATCTATGTGGGCCTGGGAGCCTTTATTTACAGAGAAAGTGGAGAAACTTGAAAGGAGCAGGTAGGAAGCAATGTCAGGTAGTTCGGGTCGGCAGCAAAAGAGCGAGGTTAAGAGTCAAGCCAAAGGTCAGAATCCAGGATGTCAATGAACAGAGAGCAGGATGTCAAAAGTCAAGGGTCATAGACAAGAAGTATGGTCATGTTCAAAGCCAAAGGTCAGAAGCCAAAAAGTATTACTGGGAATCAGGAACTGGAAACACAGACCAGGAACATGTACCAGAAACAAAGATCAGGAACAAAGACAATGATCAGTAACAAAGTCCTGGATCAGGAGCCAAGAACGCCAGGAGACTGGGAGCAAGCACCAAAACAACCGAACACTGACCAAGTGAAGTGTTTGACCATTTATAGGGGAGGCCAGTCATGTGACTGGCCTCCACCTCCTTGCAGATGGAGCCCCCCGACTATTTAAAAAGAGCATAGACTCAGCAACATGCCGGAGACCCTGCCCCTTTAATTAAGGGCCAGCACATGAGTCCTCCAGCCCCCCAAAGCACGTATTGAGAGCATCTGTGTGGCCACCGCCATCTTGCCACAGTGGCCCCCACACAAAGTCCGACACTGACTGCTGGAATCAGGAGAAGGAGAAGTGGGCCCAGGGCACTGCGAGACCTCAGCGCAAGGTAAGCTGTGACAGTTATACTTGCAGGTTTACAAAGGCTAAAAAAAGATGTGTCCAACAATTTCAGCCTTTCTCACATCGTTTTCCTGTTTATCCAAAAGAAGGAAAAAACTGCTTGAAGCTCTTTCCAATTTTGCAACAAACTAGGAAAAATTCCTTCTTGACCCCAGAATGCCAGTTAAATCTCTCCTTGGATCAAGAAGCTCTTACACCACATATTAAAAATGATATCCCTGAACATATCCCGTTTTTAAAAAATATTTATTCAGTTGCTGTTTAAACATCTGTACATATTTGATAAAACCACCAATTCAGTCAGATAATTACACAACCTTATTGTTCTTACTGTAAAAAAAACTTTTCTTTGCCTCAGACTAAATCTCCTTTCTTCCAGTCTCAATGTGTGGCTTGCATCCTATGAATAGTCCTATTTATGAATAGATTTCCAGACACTGGTTTGTATTGGCCCCAAATATATTTGTATAATGCTAACATATCCCCTCTGAGGTGCCGTTTTTCTAAATTAAAGAGATTTAACTTCATAACTAAAATGTTTCATTCCTTTTATACATTTTGTAGCCAGCCTCTGCACTTTATCAAGTGCTATAATATCCTTCCTTAAAGCAGGTGTCCAAAATTGCAAAGCATATTCAAGGTGTGGTCTTACCATTGATTTATAAAGAGGCAAAATACACGACAATACCTTACTAACCTTAGCAACTGCTGAATGACATTGCATTTTGTTGCCTAGTTTGTTGTCTTCAACAGTTCGCAAATCCTTCTTATGTGCTGTTATCCTTAATTCACTATCGTTTAGGGTGTAAATTGGTTGTGCATTCTTCAACCCGAAGTGTATAATTTTGCATTTATCTGCATTAAGTTTCATCTGCCATTTGAGTGCCCAGCCCCCAATCTGTCTAAATCTCTCTGCAGCAAAGTAATATCCTGCTCACATTGTAATAATGTACAGAGCTTTTGGTCATCTGCAAACACTGACTTTCAATGCATATTTCAAGATGATTTATAAATGTGTTGAAGAGAAGCGACTCAAGAACAAAACTCAGAGGGACGCCATTTACCACAAAATTTACCATTAATGACAACTATCTGTACTCTATATTTAAGCCAATGTTCTACCCAAGAAGAAAACATGCATCTAGACTAATTTCTTTTAATCTGAATACTAACCTATTCTGTTGAAATGTATCGAATGCCTTGGGAAAATCCAAATAGATCATGAATGGTTATATATGGTTTGCTACCATTATTTATTATTTGTAGTTTAGATTTTGTTTTTTGTTTTATAAAAAAAAAACATAAAATACAAGCCACATGTTTCTACATATTACATATACAAATGTGATTAACCTTACTTATTTCTTTAAAGAACCGTTCATGGCACCATCATAACTTCATCAAAAATGTATTGCAATTCTAGTAGTTGGGGAGAGCGATCATGCAAAGTTTGGAGTTAAACAATTTGTTAACATTTTAGCCACTTAAGGTAATATGGTACCAGGAACCTCCTCACAGAATAACACATG